GGCCTTTCTCAATATTTCCCTCCTCACCCAATATTGCTGAAAATGAGCCTGAAGTGTTGACAGACAGCAGCACACTCAGTGTGTAGGAATCCAACATAAACAGACTTGCTGGTTGTGTACTTGGACATGTTAAACGAGGTCTCTGCTTTGATCTTCCCTGCGCTATCCTAAAGCCCAGCAAGCAAAGGCTAAGTAAACAGACCTTTGATTTCAGGGCTGTTTGGAGCAGAGGTCTTGTAAAACTTTTATCAATGGCAGAGCTGAGCTACTGAAGTCCCTCTTGGACTGTAGGTGCTGCAAGAGTAGCAGTGTGGTTTTATGGACCCTGACATCCCTCTTTCTCCCCCCTTCCCATAATGGCAAACATCTGGGGCTACGAGCCAGCTTTCTGTTCATTGTTGCATACCAGTTTCTCTAGGAGAGACACCTGCTTATAACCTCCTCTATGGTGAACGGAGCATAAGCTATATTAGATCCTACAGCTATTGGATCCCACAGCCAGTGCAGCTTTTATTTAATGCATGTCATAGAGATGCTTAAATAAATCACATGGGACACATCCGTGGGAAACACTCACATTACTAATCCTGCGTGTTCAACACTCCTGGGTCAAACCCCAGAAAACCAGTACTCTGGCTTAAATAGCATGAATCTTACAACAAATTGGATTTTATTTATTTGCTTCCTGTTTTTAGAGCATTTAGTGATTCCCCACAATCACAAAGGTCACAAATTTCCTTTCATGGTCAAATAAACAGGAGATTCTCCTTCAGGATTATGCCCTCAGAAAAGGGACAGTAAGAAACAAGCATCTAATATCACAAGAATTAAAAAACGAAATTGTGAATGCTGGCAAATTCCCCTCAATGGATTAAACACAGGAGGTAGATTGGGCTCTGCTTGCTTATCATTTAATATTTTTCTTTATCTTTTTGTGGGTTACACGAAAGAGGCTTTGGCTTCCCTTCTACCCACTGAAGAAAATTGATATGAGAGTGAGATCCTGCCAAGATATTTTGTTTTTAAAAGTGTTATCAATTTTCCATTGTTTTCAAAACTAAAAACCACTGTGCGTAGCAATAATGGAGCCCAGGCTGTTCCCGGTTGGCCAGAGCTGTGTTCCCTACTGCTGGGCCCATTTCAGCCGAAAGCTCGATTGAGCTCAGGAACAAAAGTTGGAGAATTTTTCTTAGCCCTACTAATGATTATTGCTTCTTATCAAGATAAATACCAAATGACAAATTCATTGGCCAACGGCTCCATGCCAACACTGCTCCTGCTGTACCTTCTGGAGGTAAAGGTGAGATCGTTGGCTGAGTCTGAGCTCCGGCCAGTAAATTGTGAGCCTAAGAGCATTTAGTCTCTTTTGTCTTTTGCCCTCGCAGTTTTATAGCATGGCCTTAAATGACGACCTTTCTTACACTGCCTTTTCTGCCTTAGTCACCAACTAATCCTTTACTGTATGTAAAACAATGCCCTGGTTGTCCCTTCAGAAATGAATTTTGTCTTTTGTCAAATAGTCAAATCCACTGTTAGATAAAAAAAGTTTTTAACAGCCCTTTATTTGTTGGCATTTTATGGCGGTTCTTTGATCCCTGATGGGGTGTGCAGCACTGTTCATGATATATAGCAAATTGATTTTACACATTTCCATCTTTTATCAATGAGTCTTCCAATGGGGTTTTACTGTAATCAGATTGGAGATTACCATGGCACAGCCGTTGGGAAGGGATTGGAATTTACATGCAATAAAGATTAGGGGATTAGCAACTGATTAGGAAAGTGCTGATTTATCCAGCCACAGGTACAGCAAGGGGTCTTGTATGTCTGCTTTTTTCCAACCTTGGGTTTTGACCTCTTGACTCCTCACTTAGAAATGCCAGTGTGCAGCACAGAAGTGATTTCTGATGTGGCTTCTCTCAAGAACAAGTTCAAGTCATTGCAACAGTAAAACCTCCTATTTTGAATGGAGACGCTCAGAAATCTCTATGCGAGTGGACAGTTTGCTCTCATGTGCATCGACTAGGACAGGCTGAGCAGACAGACTGTGGCAACGCTTTAATCTGCAGTCAGGAATTC